CTCTATGATTTGCCCACATTAATACATTAAAAACTCCAGTTGGCTGATTTCGATAGCTACGTAGATTCCGTCAGAGTACACTGTCCTTTTACGTGTCCTGTTAATGGGCATTCAGGTTTCCTCCCCGTTTTGCGTGACAGTGAGTAGGGCTGCACACGGCTTCTCTAGGACATGCTGGGTCTTGTCAGGTTTGTGTAACGTTAGGTTTTCCCTTTGCTCTGCAATGTGGCTGTTCCAGTTTTTTTACTGTCAGCAGAATACGCTTTGTACTTGCTAACACTGGATCTGGTAAGAATTAAAAATTTGGTCAGATATGAAATGGTGGTTCATTCCCCCATCACTGGTAAGGCCTTGTGAGCATCTTTTCTTACTTTGGGAATCCTTATTTGTGAATTGCCTGTTCATTTCCTTTGCTCGTTTAAAATTTTAGGTATTGAGTGTGTGTGTTTCTCTTTATTGAAGTTAATTATTCTGCATACTAATCCTGTCAGTTATAAGCATTGCCAGTAGTTTCTCCCAGTTTGGGTTTAGCTTTTCAGTTTTTTTTTTTTTTGAGACAGAGTCTCGCTTTGTTGTCCAGGCTAGAGTGAGTGCCATGGCATCAGCCTAGCTCACAGCAACCTCAAACTCCCAGGCTCGAGCGATCCTCCTGCCTCAGCCTCCCGAGTAGCTGGGACTACAGGCATGCACCACCATGCCCGGCTAATTTTTTCTATATATATTAGTTGGTCAATTGATTTCTTTCTATTTATAGTAGAGACGGGGTCTCGCTCTTGCTCAGGCTGGTTTTGAACTCCTGACCTTGAGCAATCCGCCCGCCTCAGCCTCCCAGAGAGCTAGGATTACAGGCGTGAGCCACCGCGCCCGGCAGCTTTTCAGTTTTTTAATGTATATTTTTCCTTGTAATATACTGAATTTATCAATCTTTTTAACAATTTTTGCTTTTCATGACTTCAAGTCTTCAATCCTCAGGTCATAAATATACTTTTTTCTGTGAACTTTTACATTCACAACAGAGTCTTTGATCTACCTAGAATTTTTAAAGATTTTCAGGAAATAAATTTAGAAAAGTGGCTATAACATAGGCAATTTGACGATTATCAAATACTTGGGTTACCACTATCTAGCCCCTCCACAGTTTTACATTGGTTTTCCTTAAGGTATACCTTATTTTATTATTGCAATGTGTGGATATTGAGTTGTTTACAAATTGAAGGTTTATGGTAACCTTATGTCTAGCAAGTCTATCAGCTTTTTCCAACAGCATGTACTCACTTTGACAATTTTATCCCAACAGGCAATCCATCTCAAAGATCCAAGTCTTCGCGTCCTCAGGATTTCAGCCATTCGGATAAGGGACGGGTAAATCTTTCTATTTTTATGTATTCAAAAGATTCCTCAGGCTTGAAATCGATTTGTTGACTGAAGTTTCTAAACCATGTGTAAAGGAGGCTTTTTACTTAAATTGTAAATGTTTTATACATAATACCAGACACTAGTCATAGCATTCTACAACATTGGCATCTGGCTTTTGTCCTTACAGGCCGCCTCACCTCGGGAGCCACTGGAACCAGGGAACTTACCAGATCCTGATCCTGAACATAAACAAGAGGAAGAAGAAGAAGAAATACAAGGGGAAATCAGTCATCCTGACGGAAAGGTCAAAAAAATTTTTTTAAATGATGAATTCTACAAATAGAATTAAAACACTTAGATTCTAAAATAATTTCTCTTTAAGACCACTGATGGTGACTTCACTTTAGTGTCTTAGGGCTTGAGCCTTTTGGGCTTCTCTGAAAATGCTCAGTGTACCATGTGTATTTAGTTGCCATTGCAGGTTTAGAGATGCTGCAAAAGGAGGAGCACAGTCCCTTTGTCTCCCTGCTCCAAACAGAGCTAAATGGACTTTGTAACCCTGGGCACTTTTTTAAAGCCTCAGTTCATTCTAGGCCTTCCTTTCCTGCAGCCTCCCTTCTACAGCTCCTGGATCAGGGGCCCTCTGTCCATCCTCAGCCTGCACAATTTATTCTTGTGCTTGGAAGTTTCCGAGTGGGAAAACTGCCTGGTGGGGGGTTCCCGCTAAGAGGGGGAATGAGAAGGTAAGGGACATAAACAGGGTTTGTTAGAGGGAGGTGATGACAGAAAGTTTCCTTAGGTTTATAGAAAATTTACTTTTTCAGGTACCCCAATCTGATCCATTTTAACTGAAATCATAGGGCCCGAGTTCACTGCTAGCCTTGAGGAATGAGAGGAGAACCCAGAACAATAGGCAAAAGAGTCAGACTTCACTATACAAAGTCTACCTTAGGGTAACAAATTATTGACAAAGTAAGTTTTTCTTTTAGGTGAATTCCAGCTAATAAATGGAAAAGTAATGAGAAAGTCAGCACTTTGCAACTCATATTGAAATAAAGGAACTTTTGAGACAGTGCTTTACTTACGAAAAAGTTAAAAGTAGGCAATTGGGAGAATTACAGTTCATGTGGTATCAGGAGGAAATCTTCCCAGGGAAAACCTTGTGGGGCTTTTTTTTTAAGGTGGAAAAGGTTTATAAGAATGGGTGCCGTGTCATACTGTTTCCCAACGGAACTCGGAAGGAAGTGAGTGCAGATGGGAAGACTGTCACGGTCACGTTCTTTAATGGTGATGTCAAGCAGGTCATGCCAGATGAGAGAGTGGTACGTACGTTTCCACGGGGCCCTTCTCCAAAGCCGTCTCTGGGGAAGAGGCGTCCTGACTTTGTGTCTTTACAGATCTACTACTACGCAGCGGCGCAGACCACGCACACCACGTACCCGGCAGGACTAGAAGTTTTACACTTCTCAAGTGGACAAATAGGTACAAACTTACCCTGCTCTTCTGCTCTCTCATTAAATTCTTCCTTTTCTTTAAAAAAGGTTACTGTAAATACTTTATTTTTTAAACAGAAAAACATTTTCCAGATGGAAGGAAAGAGATCACATTTCCTGACCAGACTATTAAAAACTTGTTTGCTGATGGACAAGAAGAAAGCATTTTCCCAGATGGTACAATCGTCAGAGTGCAACGGTATGACACCATCAGTCACAGAAAAACCACCCTGTAGTACCTGTCAGTCTGTTCAGAAGTGGTGATTCCCAGTCTTGTTTCTACTGGCATATTACACCTGTATTTGGGGTTTCAGTTTGTCCCGCAAGCACATTAAGCAGTCAACTTGGTGTTATTTTGTTCCATTGTTTCATGATAGATCTAAGTCTGATCACGCCCCTTCCCAGAAACACAGCTTCTTCCCCACTGATAGAGCAGGCACTCGATGGTTTTTAATTTAGTGGTAAGAAGGGTCAATTTTAATACAATGATCATTTTTCTTCCTTAGAGGCAGAATATAAAGTTAAAAAAAGAAAAACCTAAGCATTTTGTGCTGAAAATGTAAATTTATTAAAACAGGGTTTCATGTGGACATGTAAGTGCTAATCTGATAACTGGAACTATCAGCCTGAAGCAGAAACACTGTAGAAAGAATTTGCAGTTGTAAAGGGAAAGAAACAAAGGATGTATCTAGAAAAATAACTGCCAGAATCAAAAGGCTACTTTTAAATAATTTTCCTGTTGTGTATTTCTTAAAGCAATTCTATTTTAAATTTTACAGTGATGGCACCAAAATCATAGAGTTTAATAATGGCCAAAGAGAACTCCATACTGCCCAGTTCAAGAGGCGGGAATATCCAGATGGCACTGTTAAAACTGTATATGCAAATGGTCATCAAGAAACCAAGTATACATCCGGTCGAGTAAGAGTGAAGGACAAGGATGGTAACATTCTAATGGACACAGAATTGTAACGACCCTGTGTGACTAATCGTGAAGTAACACTATCTGATTTTCTTGTTAAAAAATGTACATTTCTTGTGGATTCTGTTTAATTTATAGAGTGTGTACAAGTGGAAGAGACTGTATGGATTCCAAAATAAAAGTTTGCCCTGTAGCATCTTCAGTTTTATATTCTTTAAAATGCAACAAGGACAGCTTTCATTTATAAAATCCACCTGCTGTGTCTTTCTACAGTTAGACTAAGTAAAGCATTATTGTTATAAACTGTGCACAGGTCTTTGGAGACAGTTATAAAACCCAACAAGGGCCAGGTGTGGTGGTTCATGCCTAAAACCCCAGCCCTTTGGGAGGCTGAGGCAGAGCCCTGGAGTTGGCGGCTGCAGTGAACTGTGATAACACCACTGCCCTCTAGTTCGAGTGACAGAGTGAGACTCTTTCAAACAAACATCATAGTAGTACAGGAAGTACATATAGTCCCACAGGCACATCAGCCATAGGAGGACCTGCACAGAAAGACTAGTACCAAAATTAAAGCATTTGATCTATTATAGAGGTTTGCTAATTGTAGCAATGAATACAAATAGGTCAAACAGTACCATAATCATAGGTCATCACAGTGAAGAGAAAGCGATTATAACAAGGTTGATTTATAACTTGTCAAAATGGTGTCCTTGGCTGGACATGGTGGCTCACGCCACGGCAGGAGGATTGTTTTGAGCTCAGGAGTTCGAGACCAGCCTGAGTAAGAGCAAGACCCCAACTCTAATATAAAAACTTAGCCGGGCATGGTGGCGCATGCCTATAGTCCCAGCTACTTGGGAGGCTGAGGCAGGAGAATCGCTGGAGCCCAGGAGTTTGAGGTTGATGTGAGCTAGGCTGACGCCATGGCATTCTAGCCTGGGTAACAGAGTGAGACTCTGTCTCAAAAAAAAAAAAAAAAAGTGTCCTTGAAGGGAGGGCAAGTCACCTATATGTAAATTTATATAATAATTACAGAAAGGTGAGACCTTACCTGTCACTTGGTGTGATACAACAATAAATGTTGACAAAAAAGCCCAAAATGTATCAATTACAGGTGATTTGAGACTGAAAAACTTTAAAACTTTTCAAAAATAAGGAAAACTTTAAATGAAAAAATATGAAAAACTTTAAAACTTTTCAAAAATAAGGAAAACTTTAAAACTTTTCAAAAATAAGGACTTAATTATATAGCTTCAGGAGGGGGGAAGGATTTTTAAATGACACACAAAAAGCACAAACTTTCAGGAAAAGGATGATAAAAAAGATGAGGAAAATGTTTACTTGTCAAAAGATACACAACAGGGAAAAGACATGCCACATATATACTTGACAAAAGATTACTAGCCAGATAAAAAGAATTTCTACAAATCAACAGGAAAATTGCAAACAACTCACTAGAAAGACAAAGGATATGAACAAGCAATAAAGTACAGAATGCTCATTAATAAACCAGTGAATGCACGTTAAACAGTGAGATACCTTTTCTTACTAGTATATTTTGGCAAGGAAAGGCCTGGCAACACCAAGTGTAGGCAAGGAACTCAGACAACCGGTAGAACTGTTATACTTTCTAGAAAGCAGTTACCCCATGACCTGGCAAATTCCACTACTATGTGTATGTGCTGGAAAAAAACCTCTCACTTGTATACAAGGGCCTTACAGAATAATATTTGTAATTGAGAAAAAAACTAGTAACCTCTGAATATCTAACAATAGATTAGTCACACGGATATAGCAGTGAAAATAAGATAGAGCTATACATACCAACATGGATAAATAGTGCAAATAAAAAAGACAGTTGTGTAATACTACATACATTAACAAATACACAAAGAGATGCTATCTCTCATTTATGGACACATTCATATACAGTAACAATCATGAAGATCTGTATAAAAATGATAAACATCAAATCACAACTATATGAGAAGGGGGGAGAATGTGATTGGGAAGGAGCCTTCAATTGTACAGATAATATTTTAGTTCTTAAGCTGAATCATTAGTTATATAAGGAACTAAAATTTCATGTGTCTAAACTATTTCATTTTGAAATTATGATAAAACAAGCAAATATTTCAAAGTAAATATTTATTAACTATTTTTTCTGATGTCATCCACACAATTCCTAGCAGTTCAACGTTTAAGAAATAAGGCAGGAAAAGCTCTATTGCAGAACAAGTAAAAAAAAAACTAAGCCCCAAATGGCCTAAGTATAACAAAACTTCCTTCTGGGCTGCTACCGATGCTCTGCACTGTGAACCTGAAAAATAAAATGTGTTACTTTAAACCTCTGCTAAATGCTCATGTTCAAATCTAGTTGTTGAGTCACTTGTTGTAGATAAGAAGAGTTAAGTGGTCAACCAAGTACTTTAATAATCTGTTGTTCAGGGGTTCAAGGAGCACCCCACATCCTCACAGGTGTGAAGGAGGTGCCCCAGTCTCTCCTGCTCAGCCTGTGCATCAGGGTCTATGAGTCATGACGCCATTCCAAGCATTACAGATTTGGGACCTCTTTGACACCGGTGCTTAACAGGTGAGAGGGGCCTATGAGGAAGAAATCTAAAAGCAGATTCTTGCTGAGCTTCGTCGTCATTCCTTTGAGGAATCGAGGAAAACCCAAGGGTGCTTTTAGGAACAGTTTAGCAGTAATCTCTGCCATATTAATCCCATGCCTCATGCTGACTGAGGAGAATGAGAACTTACCTCATTCATCCACATCTGCGAGCCCCACTTCTACTAATGACATGTGAACAGGGTACTGTTCATCTTCATATAATGTCACTGTTTGTTCTGGTGCCTGGGCCTAAAATTAAAAGATACAGTTGAAAGAAAACACAGTAATGTCTCTGCTGCTGCCTTTTCCCTCCTACATCGGGCCACTCACCCAGAAGGGAAAAGGCATTCTCTAGATTTATTTATAATTTATACTCTGTGTTTCCAAAAGCATCTGTGATGGTTTCTGCTAAATTTCATTCTTTCCATTCTTAAATTCCTCCCCACAAGGTTCTCCTAGATGGAGCCAATGGGCTTTTACCACCACCATCCCGTTGATGTTCATTTGCATTCCACACACACAGCATAAACTGTGATGGTTAATTTTAGGTGTTGACTGGACTGAGGGACACCCAGATGGCTGGTTGAAGCACCACCCCTGGGTGTCTGTGAGAGTGTTTCCAAAAGACACTGATGTTGAGCCAGTGGACCAGCAGGGGAAGACCCACCCTCAGTGCGGGCAGGCACCATCCGCAGGCGGGGGCCTGGCTGGGACACAGGCGGGAGGAGGGGGAATCTCTCTCCCTGCTCTCTTCCTCCCAGAGTTGGATGCCTTTTTTCCTCCTGCCCTTGGACATCCGACTCCACGTTCTTCAGCTTTTGGACTCTAGGACTTGCACCAGGGGCCTCCCAGGGCGGCCTCAGGCCTCGGACTAGGGGCAGCACGTTGGCGTCCTTGTTCTGAAGCTGCTGGGCTGAGGCATCCCCAGCTTGCAGACGGCCTATCATGGGACTTTGCCTCTGTGATCAGGTGAGCCAGTTCCCCTAACAAATCCCTCTCATGCAGCCTACTGGTTCTAATTCTCTCAGGAACCCCAATATACTGACCAAATTTTGAATGTTACTCACAGAGGTGAAAAAATACATATCTATAAGAAATACTTGCCCTGTCCACGTTCTCACTGTTCTTGAGAGAAACCCTGCATGAACTATTCACATCACTCTGCACACGCAATACATGGTAAGTAAGGGGTTTTCAAAAAGCGCTTTCTAGTAACAGCATTGTCTTATGAGCTCATTTTTGTCACAGCCAGTATGTCAGGAACTCCCAAATCATAGGCCCAGGCAGGAAGCCGGAAGGGCCTGAACGCCAGTGCCGAGGCCTGGGGTGGGGTGCAAGCGTGTTCCCCTCTGAAGGGCTGTTGCTGCCCCACTCAGCTGATGGCCGCTTCCAGGGGACAGATCCAGGATTCCTAGATTTTATACTTTATCAGAAGCCAGAAACAGACTTTTTGGGTGAAATTTCCAATTTTACCACAGTATACACTAAATAAACACTATGTAGGCCAGATTCTGCCGGGGGCTACTCCTTTGTGACATCCTACACCCCAGAAGAAGAAAGCATAGTTACATTAGTCTGGGGTTTCTTATTTGACTTGTTTTAAATTCCCCTTGCAGAACTCAGTCTACTTATTTGATTGTTTCATATGGGTTCTATTACATTAAACAATTCAAAATTAGTATGATTATGTGATTAGTACAATTAGTATAATTCAAGCCTTTCTATGACCAGAATTCCCTGTTCTTTCCCACTCTTCTTTTAGGGTGCAGCTTAAATGCCACATCCCTGTCGTACTCAATTCAGTACCTGAGTGCCTACTAGCAGCAGCTCAAACACCCTTTCCCAACTCTCCAAATGGAAAAGTCACTCCTTACCCTCCCCGATCCTGAAAGTTACCTACATCTCTGGTACTTAGTTCATTCAAGAATTACATCAATGATATTTTATATTGCAGTAGGGTAATAAAAAAGTTTGTTAAATATAAACTAAGCATTTAACAAGTCTTAAAATTAATCCTACAGTATATATAGCTTTATATGCTTTGCTTTATTATATTTTTGCAGGTAGAGTTGCATAGAAACAAAGCACTTTACAAACTTAATAGGGACCAGAGAAATAGCTTTAAAATAATTTTGGCTAATTAAGACAGATACTTACCATGGAAGAAGCATAAAGTTGTTTTCCCTGAAGACAGTCTATCATAGCCCACAGTGCCTCCATGCTCCATTTGGGACAATACGGTATTCTTGTCTTTCCTGAATCCTTTAAAGGAGGTTTAAACCCTGCCAAGAGAACCTTTATGGCTCGGGCTGGGTACTGCATAAGATGAAGAGGAATTTGACACAATCTGTCGCAAAAGAAATTCTCAAAATGTTTAGAATGTCACAATTAAAATTATAGCTAAAACTATAAAACTCTTTCTTAGAAGAAAACAGGGAGAGAGCTTCATGACACTGGATTTTGCAATGATTTTCTGGATATGACACCAAAAGCACAGGAAACAAAGATCAGGTAAAATGGACTTCATCAAAATTTAAAACTTCTGTGTACCAAAGGACACAACAGAGTGTATAAAGGAAACCTACACAATGAAGAAAACACACATGAAAATAGACATTTCTTCAAAGAAGATAATAGACATGGCCAACAGGAACAAGAAAAGATGCTTAGCATTACAATGCAAATCAAATCCACAGTAATATACCTCCTCACATGGAGGAGGCTATTATAAAAAAAGATGGCTACTATAAAAAAACAAAGTAAGTATCGGTAAGGATGTGTGTAAACTGGAACACTTGGGACACTGTTAGTGGGACTACGAAGCGGCAGAGCTGCTGTGGAGAACAGCATTGTGGTTCCTCAAAAATTCAGCACAGAATTAGTATATGATCCATCAATTTCATTACTGGGCATATACCCAAAATAATTAAAAGCAGGGACTTGAAGAGGTATTTATTTGTATCATAAGAGCATTATTCACAATAGCAAAAAGTGTTCAGAAGCAACCCAAGTGTCCCTCTGCCAGTGAAGAGGTAATTACGTACTGTGTACTGTATGAGGGGACTTCAAAAAGTTCATGGAAAAAATAAAAATACAAGCTTTATTTCTCAACATAAGTTCCATCAAATGCAAGACACTTTTGTAAGTGATGACACCTGCCATCTCAGTCCATCCCTAATGGATGATCCTGGGAAATGAACCACGTCCATGTGGTCTTTTCTTACATTAACTCACCAAAAAGCAGTACACTATAAAGACATTTTAAGATTAGGAAACAAAAAAAGTCAGAAGGAGCCAAATCAGGACTGTAAGTGAGATGCCTAATGATTTCCTGTTGAAATGCTTGCAAGATTGCCCTTGTTTGAGGAGAGGAACCAGTAGGTGGGGAAGGGCTCTCTGGTGAAGCTTTCCTGGCCGTTTTTCTGCTAAAGCTTCGGCTTTTTCAAAATACTCTCATAATAAACAGACATCATCATTCTTTGACCCTCCAGGAAGTAAACAAGCAAAATGCCTTGAGCATCCCAAAACGGTCGCCATGACCTTTGTGACAACTAAACCATGTCACCTCCCGCAGCCGGGGCTCTGACTGTGCTGTATTCAGGGTGACGGGGGTAAAGCCATGTTCCATCTCCCATTACAGCGCCTCAAAGAAATGCTTCAGGGTCTTGATCTCACTTGTTTAAAATTTTCATTGTGATCTCTGCTCTTGTCTGCAGCTGTCTGGTGCCTACTGAGGGAAAGTTTGCTCAGCTTTAGTTTTTCAGTCAGAATTGTGAAAGCTGAACCAGTTGAGATGTCCCTGGTGTTGGGTATTGTTTCTGCTGTTACCAGTCAGTCTTGTTGAATAGGACCAACAAGTTTAATTTTTTTTCTTGCAAATTGCTGTGGATGGTGCCGCTGCAGGCTTCATCCTCAACACTGTTTCATCCTTTCTTAAAATGAGATATCCACTTGTAAATTGCTGATTTCTTTGGGGCACTGTCCCATAAACTTTTTGTAAAGCATCAATGATTTTGCCACACACATCAAGCTTCACCACAAATTTCATGTTTGTTCTTACTTTGATTTTAACAGAATTCATGTTGCTTTTTTTCAAACTGATAGGGGCTCTTTTCAAACTGATGTCTTATTCTTTCTTAGTGCCTCACATTAGATCCTCTTCAGACATGTTATAACAAGTTGACAGAAGTTTATTTTTTAAGTATGGTTTAGGATTTTTTTTAACTTTATTTTGGTGCCAAAAAAATTGAAATCCACACAGTTTTTTCATAGTATGCATTTTCCTTGAACTTTCTGAAGACCCTTCATACATATAATGGAATATTATCCAGTCTAAAGAAAGAAGGAAATTCTGACACATGCTACAACATAAATGACTCTTAATAACATTATGCAAGTGAAATAAGCCAGACACAAAAGGATAAATATTGTATGAGTTTACTTATGTAAGACACCTAGAATAGGCAAATTCACAGAGACAGAAAGTAGATTATAGGTTACCAGGGACCAGGTGAGAATGAACTGGGATGCTATGGTTTAATGGGTACAGAGTTTCTGTTGGGAATAACAAAAAAGTTCTGGAAATGGAAAAGTGGTGACAGTTGTGTAACATTGTGGATGGTATTTAATGACTATTAACTGCATACTTAAAAATAGCTAAAATGGTTAAATTTATACATATTTTCACAATAAAATCTGTATTAAAAATCCTAATAAACAGCTTTAAAAGAGTTTTCTTTTAAAAGAGGCAAAATTTTCCCAATAAAGAACTACCAAAAAAAAAAAAAAAATACAAGAGTCCTAATTCAACTAAGTTGACATTTTCATTTTTTACCTGTTTACTGTCAGCTTTTCAGTTGATCCGTAATCAACAAATTGTACTAGGACAGTTAAAGGATTAAATTCTTTAATGGAAACAATTTTCGCTCTATACCATAAGCCATCATCATATTCTGCAAGGCAAGGCATTTCTGGAAAGACAGAAAACGGGGAAAAATAATATTGCCTTAGATTTCCTTAAAACTTTTTTTGCTTCTAATATTCAACAAGACAGCAGGGTGACTGTAGTTAACAACAATATATTGTCTATTTCATAATAGCTACAAGAGAGGACTTGAAACGTTCCCAACACATAGAAACAAATGCTCAAGGTGATGGATAGCCCAAATATCCTGACTTGATCATTACACATTTTATGCATGTAAGGGAATATCACATGTACCCCATAAATATGTACAGATACTATGTATCAAAACATTTTTTTTTTTTTTTTTTGAGACAGAGTCTCGCTTTGTTGCCTAGGCTAGAATGAGTGCCGTGGCATCAGCCTAGCTCACAGCAACCTCAAACTCCTGGGCTCAAGCAATCCTTCTGCCTCAGCCTCCCAAGTGGCTGGGACTACAGGCATGCGCCACCATGCCCGGCTAATTTTTCCTATATATATTAGTTGGCCAATTAATTTCTTTCTATTTATAGTAGAGACGGGGTCTCACTCTTGCTCAGGCTGGTTTCGAACTCCTGACCTCGAGCAATCCGCCCGCCTCGGCCTCCCAGAGAGCTAGGATTACAGGCGTGAGCCACCGCGCCCGGCCCTATCAAAACATTTTTTAAACAGAAAAGTACAAAGAAGGATACACGACAAACATATGTTCATCATCCAGAAATAAACACTGAACTGTTGGCCTTATGTTAACTTTTCCTCCTTTTGTTTATATGTTATAAATCTTTCTTCACTAATTCCTAAGGATTAAGCTTCGGAGAAAGGCACATCTCCCATTCTTGAGTTCCTAGTTCTCCTACCCTCTGGGACTCAGCTCATCCTGCCACTGCCCCACTTCCTATTCTCCCCCAACCGCTTTCAGTTTGGCCATCACCTTGTGTATAGGATGCTATGGTTTCTGCTGTTCCTGCCTTCAGTTCTGTCCTCCAATCCATCCTTTGTAAGACCACTAGTATTTTTAAAAATCCAATTAATCACCCTCGTTTACTAGTCTTCAGTGGTGTAGTAGCTGCCTGCAATATCTAGTCCTCAGCATCGCAGTTTGCAGGCTCCTTCGGTTGTTTGTTCTCCCAAACAACCCCTACACATCTCCTCAATGATTTACCTAAACATAATTAAAGCCTTGGTGCCTCTATTTTAGCTCATGGTTGTCCCCCCATCCAGAATGTTCTCCTGAGCCTTTTTTATGACATCTCTTCTTTCAAAGCTCAGTGGCAACATAACTTTTATAAAGCCCTGATTACTAACTACTGATCATTGCTTTCTCTGTGATCCACAGCATTGTGGCTACTCCTTTAACATGAGCTGTTCTTTCCATACTGTGCTTGGTCAATGTCTCTTCTCTGCTAGACCACCTGTTCTTGAGTGCAGACCTTTGTCTGTATTCCTAACATGGTACCTGGTACAAGCATGTGCTCAGTAAAAAGTGTGCTAATGAGTACTAGGCTTGAGTAAAACTGGAAAAATCAGTACAGTATGTACTTCCCTTCTCTTAGTACATGTTTAGATCTCAGAGTATATGGCATGTGCCTCAGTTTCCCATCTTCTCTACATCCTCCCTTATGTCCTCACATACCTTCTTTTACATAATTCTACAAAGAGGAATCTAGTTGTGGGTAAGGGGCATTGAAATACGAAATGACTAATGTACACAGATTTTCATTTCAAATGATTTTTATCAGAGATTTATAAAAAATTTGAGTATATAAAGAAAGTCATAAAGAATCTCATCTAGCAGAGCAGTTCTGCATAGCAAGCAACTAAATCACTTAATCGGTACTAACTTTTATCATTTCCAGCCTTATAAACATGGCTGAAGTTTCATCTTCTCAAATAGAACTTTAAAACAAAAACCAAAAAAACTAGTTGTCATCGTAACCCATGAAAATAACTCCTTCAATAAAAATTCCTTATTCAAATGTAACTATTCAATAGACACTTGCCTTTAAATCAACTTGACCATACGCATACTTAAAAAATTTTTATTGAATTATAAAATACCTACAAAAAATATATAATTATAGATAGCTGCATGAATTATATCACATTATGCACAGATTGTGGGCTTTCCTTTGAGATAGGAACACAATGAAGGAATTGTTTCTTCCTGACTATAAATCTGAGTGTACAAAAGAAATCATGAGTTTATTCTTTCACTCATTTGGTATTTATGAGCACCTACTTATGCCAGGTGCCCTTCTAATTGCTGTTGACATGAAAAGTCGTGTGCTCACAGCACTACTTAGAAAAACAGAGTAAGAAGGGAGGGAGGTGGTGGAGGTACAGGGAGGCAGTGCTACTGTACTTAGTGAGGTCAGGGAAGACCTTCGAAAGGCACAGCGAAACTGCCAGTCTGGAAGAAGAAGATTCTAGGCAAAGGGAACAGCAAGGGCTATTTATCAGCTAAAAGTCAGTCACAGCCAATTAAAATCTCATTGAATAGAATCAGGTGAGACATTAGGCTGATGTGTTTTTTTCCTCTGCTAAGATATCTTCTGATATGTACAAAACAGCAAGCATATTTCAGTTAACCAGCTTGTCAGAAAAGGAAAAAGATAAAAAAAAACAATTAAAAAAAATAGAAAAGAGAAAAAAAAAAAAAACAAAAAACAAAAAACAAAAAAAACCAGCAAGCATAAATAATCTCTATGTATCATATGTTGCACTAACTAGATACATTTTCCTCATAGGAGAATCACATACATTTAATAAAGATGGGAAGAATGTATTGAAAAGAAAAAAAAACAGTAAGAATTTGACCTATTTTGACAAAAACAGACATCATCTTATGTGGTTTGTAATTAAAATGATTGCCATTAAGTTCTGGATGAAAACTCTCTTAATTTCAGCTACTGGTAAAACCTCAAGCTTAGAAAATCATTTGTATGCAATATTCCAACATACCCTGATTTTTGGAAGTGAAAATTTGCCAGGGGAGTCACTTAAGAGAAGTTCTCCTTTTAATCTAGAAAATGGGAAAGAGATCATCTACAAGGTATCTTGAGGAGTCAAAGAAATCATGCACATGAAGTATTTTCCTCAGAAAATATCAACTGACATTAGAAATAGCCCAAACTCATCAGCCCATTAAAACAAAAAAGTTTTATTAAGAATCTTATTTCAGGAAAGTAGTATGGAGATACCTCAAAGAACTAAAAGTAGACCTACCATTTGATTTAGCAATTCCACTACTGGGTATTTACCCAAAGGAAAAAAAGACACTTTATAAAAAAAAGACACTTGCACTTGAATATTTACAGCAGCACAATTCACAATTGCAAAGATGTGAAATCAACCCAAGTTTGGTTGAAATTGATGATTTTCATTTTATCAATACATGAGAGGATTAATCAAATGTGGTATATGTATACCATGGAGTATTACTCAGCCATAAAAAATGGTGGACTAATACCTTTTGTAACAACCTGGATGCAACTGGAGACCATTCCCCTTAGTGAAGTATGGCAAGAATGGAAAAACAAACATGTTCTCACTAGTAAACTAGAACTAATAGAACAACACTCATGTGCACATATAGTAGTAAAATTCAATGAAAATGAAGCAGGAGGGAGGGGGAGGAAGGGATGGGTAAATGCACACCTAACAGGTACAGGTACAATGCACACTAAGTGGGTGACGGACACACTTGTAACTTTGACTCAAACTGTATAAAAGCAATTCATGTAACCAAAATGTTTGTACCCCTGTAATAGTCTGAAAAAAAAATCTCATTTTATTCAAAAAGTAATACATATACCTGTTCTAAAATCTGTCAGAGGAGGAAACATCTTTACATTCTTATTGCACCTCCGAAGCGCTTCATCAAGACTCTCGGATTCCGACTCCCAGCTGACTCCACTATCATCTGTGTCACTCTGCTGGTTATACTGATTACAATTTTCTACAGAATCAAGGCAAATATACACCTAAGTGGAGGGAAGGAAACGAAAAAAACGTTCAAATTCTGTAATTTCTAGTATTCATTGATGTGGACAAATTATCACGGCACACAGCCTCCAAGGACAGCCCCGGGGATCACTGCTTCCTGATGCTCACCCCGAGTCCCTCCCATGTTCTTCCACACCCATCTTGTGGGCAGGAGAACATGACCGAGGTGATGGTGCGTGACTGCTGGAGACCTGATTATAAGAGACATGGCTTCTGTGTTGGTGGCACTCTGCCAGGGACTATGCAGCCCAGGACGCTGCGGCCATGCTGTGAGCAGACAGCCAGAGATGCCCGGGCATGGGCACGGCACTGAGGCCTCCAGGCGGCCTCATGTGAGTGAGTCTTTTGGGAAGTGGCTTCTGCAGTCCCCCATCAACATCTTGTCTGCAACTTCATGAGAGATCCTGCGCTAGAGGACTTAAGCAGCTCCCAGATTCCTGACCCTCATTTGTATTGTTTTAAGCTGCCCAGCTTGGGGTAACTTGTTACGCAGCAAATAACCAACACAAGCATTATAAAAACCAACAAAAGCTGTTTATTGCCATGCCTTCTGATGAAATCAGATGGCAGATCCTTTCCTTGCCTACAAGAGAACAGCTTACGGTGTGAAAGGCTGAAGCAGCTGCTGATGCTACTTATCATTTCTTCTTCTCTTTCTGTTACCCAAAGGTATGCCACTGAATTTTCTTTAGTGTATTTATTCAATCATTCAATCAATACTCATCATGTCCCTACTATTTGTCAGGCACTATCCTATTCTGGGGATATATCCATGAATAACATAGACTGTCTTCACGGAGTTATATTCCAAGAGGCAGACAACAAACGTAACAAGCAAGGAAGCAGCATGGAAAGACAAGGCAGGGTGAGAAGCAGGAAGAGGTAAGGGGAATGAGATGTTCAAGATTTCACAGGTAGAAACAGTTTCACCTTAAAAATCTAAATATTTGCCATAAACATAACATTGAATAAAGCAACACAATACTGGGAACCCATTAGCTGCTTAAGAAATACTTGCTGGGCTGGGCCTGGTGGCTCACACCTGTAATTCTAGCACTCTGGGAGGCCGAGGTGGGAGGACTACTCGAGGTCTGGAGTTCAAGACCCGCCTCAGCAAGAGCGAGACCCTGTCTCTATTAAAAATAGAAAGAAATTAGCTGGACAAGTAAAAATATATAGAAAAAATTAGCTGGGCATGGTGGCACATGCCTGTAGTCCCAGCTACTCGGGAGGCTGAGGTAGGATTGCTTGAGCCCAGGAGTTTGAGGTTGCTGTGAGCTAGGCTGACGCACGGCACTCTAGCCTGGGCAACAGAGTGAGACTGTCTCCAAAAAAAAAAAAAAAACGAGGGGAGGGGAGGGGAAGGGGACGAAAAGAAATACTTACTGTAAATATGAACATCTGAAGAGGACATTATAGGGTAGAACTAACTAGAGGTCATCAATTTTCAATTATTTAATCAGGAATATGGAGAAGTGGTTTAATAAGACCAAGACAGCTTGTTATATTTTTAATTACCAACTAATCATTCAGATTACATACTTCACTGGGTGAGACAACATGCTTAACTTGCACAGCATAGAGTTCTTCTGAGGGAGGCAGAGCTGAAGACAAATATGGTGGTAAGACAGGAGTCTCTGTTTCAGACAAAAGCAATTCCTAAAACACCACAAATAAATTCAAATTTCAGGATGGCAATTATAAAAATCTACTACATTATAAAAGTTCATTATGGTGCCAATTTACTTTCAATTACCAGAAAGCAAGCTCTTTTAAATACTGAACACCACAAAATGATTTTGTTGCAGTAGGATCAAAATGTGAAGATAAACAAAGATTTTTATATTCTTTTATCCCCCAATTAAAAAGTGTTTTGTGCAAAAATGCATGAATGTGTATAGAGTTACATATATTTACAAACACACACATTCTAGAAGAATGGTTAATAAATGGTTAAGAGAGTAATTGCTACTAACGAGTAGGACTGGGATGTTTGAGGCACAGAATGGGGAACATATCCTTTTTTAATATATTTTTTGGTATTTAAGATTAAGTACTTTATAATATAATGTAATAAAAACTAATGTATGAAATGCTAACAGAAGATTTAAGTTAAAATTATCAAAAAGGTGTGCTCTATAAAAGAATACAAAGTTATGTGATTCCCAAAAGGATCACAACCTAGCAGCTGTTAAAAGCAAATACAAATGAAAACATGGGTGTACACTTTTAATACTAGCAATATATTTTTAAAATATTCTTTTTAGTCTTAAAGAATATGGTAGTTAAGAAGTAAAACCATCATATTCAAATTTTTAGGTTAATTTGTTACTACTTAACATTTCCAATCTAGTGGCTAATCAAAAAACAAAAAAATACTTGAATCTAGGAAAGTTCAGCAAAAAGTGATTGTCCACTGTTGAATTTTACTAATTTGTTACAAAGCATTATAATAAGCACTTTACAATAAGCATACATTATTTTCATGATTATCATTCACAGGAACAAAAATCTAATAAACTATAAAGTTTTATTCATTAAAACTCTTTGTGCACCAAAAAGCACAAGAGACAAAAGAAAAAAACATACACTGGAGTTCATGAAAATTAAAAACTTTGGTGCTTAAAAGGACACTGTCAAGAAAGTGAAAAGACAACCTACAGAATGGGAGAAAATATTTGCAATCATATCTGAAAAGGGACTTGCATATAGACTATATAAAGAATTCTTATAACTCAACAATAAAGAGATAAATAATCCAACTATAAGTAAACAGGAAGAGATTTCTCCAAAGAAAATATACAAATGGCCAATAAGCCATGTGAAAAGATGCTCAATATTGCTAATCATCAGGCAAATGCATATTAAAACCACAATGATACACCACTTCACACATATCCTAGGATGGCTAGAGATTCAGACTACAATGGTGACCTGGTGAGGTGGGATCCTCACACACTACTGGCACAAATGCAATGTGGTGCGGCCACTCTGGAAAAGCCTTTGCAATTCCTTAGAATGTTAAACACAGTTACCGTAAGACTCAGTAATTCCACTCCTAGACATATGCCCCAGAGAAGGGAAAACATACACGTCTGCATACAAACTTGTACATGATAAGCATTACTCACAATCACAAAAAGGTGGAAACAACCCATCTGTCCATCAACAGATCAGTGGATAAACAAAATATATCCACACAATGTAATTCTGTCAATGAAAGGTCTCAAGTACTAACACATACTACAACATGCATGGACCTTGAAACCACCATGCTAAGTGAAAAGGCAGTGACAAAGGACCACGTTATCTGATTCCATTTAAATGAACTGTCCAGGATAGGCAAATCCAGAGAGATGGAAGATTAAGTGGTTGCCACGAAGCCGGGGAAGAGAAGAATGGGGAACGACTGCTGTTGGTACAGAGTTTCTTTCCGGGGTGATGGTATGTTCTGGAATTAGACAGTGGTGATGGTTGCAAAACTCAGTGAATGCTAAAAACCATCAAATTATACATTTTAAAAAAGTGAATTCTATGGTAAGAAAGTCTCAAGCTGTTATATAAAAAAACTTTTACTTCCTGTCCTGTATAATAAGATCCTTTATATTGATGAAGTATCCAAAGTTTCTAAAATATTTGGATTGCTACTTACCTCAAACCTTATTTCCCATTCTTCCTCCTCATACTTTTTATTGTAATCTGTTGGTTTCTGAAATAATATAGTATTATTAATGAGTAAAACCACCTTTAACTATATAACATTGTTTTAAGGCACTTTCATATTTCATCCCCACAAAACCTGGGTACATGTCTTTGTTGGCATTGATTTAGTTATTTCAGATTAACTACAAGAAACTCTATAATGTTCTGAGTAATCTTACTATCTTAATTTTTCAACAATAAGAATCCTCAAAAATCCAGCCTGGGCAACACAGTGAGACCTCATCTCTACAAAAAAAGAAAAAAAAATTAGCTGGGTGTGGTGGCTTGTGTCGATAGTCTCACTATACGTAAGAGGCTGAGGCAGGAGGACCGCTTGAGCTCAGGACTTCGACGTTATAGTGAACTAGGACTGGGCCACTGCATTCCAGCCTAGGTGACAGAGGGAGACCCTATCTCTTAAAAAAGAAAAGAATAATCAAAATTATGCCAAGACATGTCAATGGTAATTAGTTTATAAAAGAGCTCTTACCTTTCCCTATAAAATGTTCACAGTTAAAAGTACAACTGGAAGGGAGAGACTAATCTTTATAAAACCAGCTTAATGACCTTTTACACACACACACACACGCACACACGTCTCTGCTTTAAAGAAAAGGCTGGCAGTGAGGATTATAGGTACAAAGTAATATCATAGTTTCTATTTGAAAGAAGAAAGTAGTTTTCTATATTGAACAGAACACTCAATGGTTGTGTAATGTCACCAAAATGAACATTTAAAAACAAGACAAGGCAGCCCAGCATGAGTGGCTGATGCCTATAATCCTTTGGGAGGCCAAGGTAGGAGCATCACTTGAGCCCAGGAGTTTGAGACCAGGCTGAGAAGAGTGAGACACCATCTCTATAAAAAATAGAAAAATTAGTGGGGTGTGGTGGCACACGCTTGTAGTCCCAGCTACTTGGGAGGGCTGAGGTGGGAGGATCACTTGAGCCCAGGAGTTTGAAGTTGCTGTGAGCTATGATGACGCCACAGCACTCCAGCCCAGGCAACAGAGCAAGACTTTGTCTTAAAAAACAAACAAACAAAACCAAGAAAAATACCCCTAACAAATTGTAACTCTAGACGTAAATATCTTAACATAAAATGTTAATGATGCATACCCTATTCCTATAGAAGATTTACAGCAGCTTGAAATATGAAACCATATCCATAGCAGGCTAATTATCTTTTAAAAAATATTAAACACAGAAGAAGCACCAGGCAGTTGGAATGGGTCATTTAGGAAAGCTAAGCTCAAAATGTGGCTCTGAGTTTCCTTTGAGAAATTTTGTAATATATGGCTTTTCTGTCAAGTAAAAGGAAAAAACATTTCATCTGGGGAAAAAATCCTGGTATTGAATTCTATTAAAGATTTTATAATCTGCACCCCTGTATTCAAACAACGCTAGATAACTAGGTTTGAAGGTACAGAATCACTAATTCAGTCTTAATGTAATTTAAGGCTTTTTCAGGACATTTACAAAGCATGCTATACAATGTATTTCTTTCTCTATAGAGAATTTACAAGTCCTCTAGACTCTCTTAATAGATCAGATATATAGAATCATATTTAAGACTTTAGGTGTAAGACAGAATGTGACACCTTTAATCAGAATTTATTTTTCTATAGTTTAGATTTTTATAAAAAAATAGTTCACTTACTTCTTTCAATATCTCCTCAGAATGTTCAGAAGTACAATATTTATAGTGTGCCATGAAGTAAGAAAGTGACATTCCACCAAAATAAAGATGAACAGATAATTTCTCCCAGGGATTTTTTGGTAATTCCTATTTAAGTTCAATAAAGAAGATTATTATTATAAAAATAAACTCTATTTGATGACTAAAATTTTATAGTCACCCAATATGAATTTAGGCTTCTAACAATCACAGCATTATCAGACTTTCTGACTAATGACTCATTTCATAGAATTTTCTTCCTGGTATAGGTGAAAAAATGAAGTTTCATTAAAAATCCAAAAATGGCAGGACTTAGAAGAAATTAATAGTCTAAAACAGGCATCATATGCCATCTTTAAAACTCTGAATAAAGTCCATTTACAATTACTGCCTATCAAATGTGTCCAGAACTGATAAGCTGGCCGGAGGGAATTTCTCTCCACTGGCCACACCTGTGTCCAAACCCACCTTCTCAACGAGTGGCAGTCGCTGCCCCCAGCGGCGCTCCTGTCTACCTGCAGTCCCGGCTTCTGCCAGCATGTCCCCTCCCCTCTCCCCGCTGTGTGCCCTGTTCCTGCCCCGTGCTCTTGGCACTCTTCTCGAGCACCTGCATGGTCTGTCCTCTGGCCATTTTAAGGTCTTGACTCAAATGCCACCTGCACAGGGATGTCTGCCCCGACTCCGTGTTTAAAATGGAACTTCCTCCCTTCCCACCAGCCTTTCCTACTTAGTTTTTCTTCCTAGCACTCATCACTAATATTCCCATAGTGTATGTATTTATTTGCTTTCTGCTTCCCACCATTACAATGGAAGCTGCAGGAGGGCCGCGGGGTCCAGCTGCTCAGCCCAGAACAGAGTAGCGGGTGTGGGGCCGGGGCAGGCGTCCGTCCGCGTTAGTGGCTCTGACAAACCCAGCAGCCTCTGCTGTATAACAAATTACTCTTCTGCCTACATTAATTAAGCTAAGCAGCAGAGAAAGCTATTTGGACAAACTAAAAAATCTCAATCTCTACTTCAGTGACCTGCCACAACCTGCCCATGTAACTAGGGAGGGGCTCTTGGCACTAACACACACCGCTTTCTTATTTAACAGGGTCTGTGCCTCTTTTAAAGTCTTCATCACTCTATCCTCACTTTTTAACACAGAAATGCTTTCCTGACCATTTGTATACTTTCCCACTCTAGAGTCCTCAAACGCAGCAGGCCGACCTCATTCACTCACTGCTCAGAACGCCCACCAGGCCCTGCCAACTGACCCTGCCTCTCCTGCATCTTATGCACGGTTGCTCCTCCTCACAAACCGCCACTCGTCCAGTCAAGCAGACACACCGCTTCCTACAAATGTCTCCCTGTGCCTTTGTGCACTTCATCTCCCCAGTCAGGAGAACTTGGCCATCTTTTCTTTAAGGAACACCTCAATTCTCACTGTCTGTAAATTCCCATCACACTTACTCTTTTTACCAATCACTTGGCTCTCGGCATGTTGCTGTGTCGTGTGAATTTTTTAGGTTTATGTCTTGTTTCACTCACTAGATAAGGTCTTTGAGGAAGGGATCATGGCAGGCTCTCTGAATTACCTTCATCTACCACAGTGCTACATGCACAGCACCATCCAAATACTGCCACCAGTATTCATGAACATATCCAACAATTTAACACTCCCTCTGAATTAAAATAAGTTGTTAATAAAAAATCTTCCAAATTACTGACTTTAATGGTTATGAAAATTCTCAGGAACTTATTTAAAATTAGGTTTATTTAAAATAAGCCTAGGAACCAAAGTTCTTTTCAGTTAATGAGTAATTTACATTCACACAAGAATACATATACCATTGTTTATCATCAAAAATATCCTTCAAATTATGTTAATTATAACATTTTATGGAAAATAATTTAAACCAACTAAATATGCTTTAAAAACAAATTACCATAATATGTATTTCCACCTCTCTCTTTGAAAGCAGTTCCTGAAGAAGTTCTATTGCATCTGGTTGCCAGACATTCCCAACCTATTTGGGATTAATAAACTCAGATTTTTTTATACTTTCACAAAATAAGACAAATCAGGAGCAAATTAAGATACACAAAAGTAGACATAAACAAGCAATACTAGGCAGTAGTGTAAAATACACAGTTTTAGGCCGAGTGCAGTGGCTCATGCCTATAATCCTAGCATTGTGGGAGGCTGAGGTGGGAGGATCCTTTGAGCTCAAGAGTTTGAGACCAGCCTGAGCAAGAGCGAGACCCCGTCTCTACTAAAAATAGAAAAAATTAGCTGGGCATGGTGCCACATGCCTATAGTCCCAGCTACTCTGGAGGCTGGGGCAGGAGGATCGCTCGAGCCCAGGAGTTTGTGGTTGCTGTGAGCTAGGCTGATACCACAGCACTCTAGCTGGGGCAGCAGAGTGAAACTCTGTCTCCAAAAAAAAAACAAAAAAAAAAACCCCACAGTTTTCAGAGAGTATCATGGGTATGTGGTAAAAATAATCTTAAACAAATATATCTATATTTTTTTGAAACACAGTCTCATTCTGTTACCCTGGGTAGAGTGCAGTGATATCATCACAGCTTACTGCAACCTCAAACTCTTAGTCTCAAGTGATCCTACTGCTGCAGCCTCTCTACTCTAGTAGCTGGGACTACAAGTGACCACCACCATGCCTGGCTCATTTTTTTCTACTTTTAGTAGAGACAGGGTCTTGCTCTTGTTCAGGTTGGTTTCGAATTCCTGACCTCAAGCAATCCTCCTGCCTTGGCCTCCCAGAATGCTAGGATTACAGGCGTGAGCCACCATACCCAGCCTTAAATGAACAATTTGACTGAGCAGCTTCCTATAGTACTCACTTATAACATTTTATGCTTTAAAAATATAAACCTACATTAAAAACAGAACATCAATCACATTTAAAACTTTAAAAAAAGACCAATATACCACTGTAGTGCTTCTATAAGGCCTATAATACATATTCATTAAGAAGCAGTGACTGTTATATTTTTATGTGTTAAGAGGGTTACATGGCAAGGAAGTGAGGCTTCCTGCCAAGAGCGATGTGAGTGAGCCTTCTGAAGTGGACCCTCCATCCCCAATCCTGCAGATGACTGTACTGCTGGTGGACACTTTGCTTAAAGTACCATGAGGGACTCCTTGTCAAAACCACTCAGCTAAGCCACTCCCACTCCCTAAGCAGAAATCCCTCACAGAAATTGTATGAAATAATGAAAGTTTATTTTAGACCACTAATTCTTAGCTTAATTTGTTATGCAGCAAGAGATAATAAGCTACTCTTTTATCTGATTTTACCTTTAAAATTTATTGTAATTTCATTTGATAAAGAAACAAATTTTTACAATCTTATGCCTTCCTATCTATGACCATATTACATCTCTTCATTTATTCAGATGTTTTAGATCCTTCAGTATAATTTTGTAGTTTTCTTCATAAAGGCTCTTTAACTGTCTTATTAAACTTATTTGTAGGTATTTTATTGTTATACCTATTATTTTTGTTACAACTGAGATTTTACTCTACATTCTAAACATTAAATTAATAAATTCTAAAAATTTATAATTTTAATTCTAGAAATTAATAAAAATATTTAAAATTAATCATCCCACAAATGATTACATACTCACAGGTATAGTATTATATAGCTGACAAGGAATACAAAACTGGGGTATATCAGGATATAGCAAAATAGGGTAAAGATGACACTGTGGAATCTTCTCAGTGAATCCATGATCTAAATATTGTACCTGAAACAGGCCAAATAAAATGTATAGTTAAAATTTATAACTAAAATCTAGAGGACAGAGGTATTTCCTGGTATTAAAAAAAGATCCTATAAAGATAACCGAATTTGGATTTGAAAAAACCTTCCAGAAAAAAAGCAACACTGTATTTATTCCCTTATCCTATGGTGTATCAAACCTCAATGTATAAAGGTTTTATTAACCTATAAATCAAAACTTTTTTTAAACTAGGTCTTATTAGATTTACAAATTCAGGAGCAACTGCTTTTTGAAATGCTTTATTTAATTCTGACAATTCAATTTCTAAATTGTCTTAAGAAGAAGGAATACCAACAAGTTATTTTCTGCCCCAATGAAAGGAAATGAACATATCACTGTTTAATTAAGATTTCTTGGCATTTTAAAAAATAAAAAAGAATTGAATAAAAAATATTTGAGTATATCACAGGTAGTTAGGTTGTTATGGTTTCATGAAATGTTTCTTAATGTAGATCACAGGATAAACTATAAAAGATACCAGGTTAAGAAATAAAAACATTGTATACACTTGAAATGTAAAAGGTATTTTTCCTATGGAAAAAATAGGAAACAATAAGAAAAAGTAGGAAAAAATAAAAGGCAATGATTAAACTCTCAAACTACTTTTAATCAAGTTAAAATAAACAGATATTTAGATAGCATAAGAAATTTTTATAAAAGTTCACCATCTTTTTTATTTGGATTTCACATATGTAAAGTTTATGAAGTGTGATAACTTGATGAAAACTGAGTTTCAGTTTGCCTCTGTATTAAGGAAGAAAAGGGCAGCAGTTATCTGAACTCAAACATATGTGAAAACTGATGCATTTGCATATAAACACATGAATCTCTAAGTATCCAGATGCTTAAGTATTCATCCCAAAATCTGAAACTATTTTAATTTTATTAAAGACATTAAAAGTTTACAGTCCAGCAGAAAAAGCACAACACTTAGAATTGGAAGTTCAGAATCAGACGCTTGGATGTGAACACCAGTATCACTATCCACTGAGAAGGTGACTGTAGCAGGTCACTGAAGCTAAATTGTAATTTTTTTATTAGTAAAATGGTAATCATAATCTATGTCTAGGATAGCTGTAAACAAATTATAAAATATGAACCACATATATGAAAGAACCTCAAAAACCTCAAGTACTATGTACTTGTCAGGTATCATTGTCAAACACAAGCACTGAATATCTGATAAAGTACTTCATCAGTTTCACTGGTTTACTTAGTAAATACAATGTCAATGGAGGTTTTCCATCTATATTTGTGTGTGTGTGTGTATATATATACACACACACACACATATATACACACATACTTTTTAAAGCACGTAGCTATTTTTCATTATTTTTTTACAATTTCAAAATATTACAGGGGTATAAATGTTTTCAGTTATATGGATTGCTTTGTTATGCTTGAGTTGGGGTATAAGTGTGCCCATCACTGGATAGTGTTCTTATTGTACTCATCAGGCAGGTTTTCACCCAACCCCTCCTCTCCCCTCCCCCTGCTTGACTTCCACTGACTTTTACTTCCCTTTTTGTACATGTGTGCTCATCAGTTTAATAGCAAGTACATGTGGTGTTTGTTTTTGTATTCTTTAGATATTCCACTTGGGATAATGGTCTCCAGGTCCACCCAAATTGTTGTAAAAGGCATTAAGTCATCCTTCTTCATGGCTGAGTAGTATTCCATAGTATACATATACCACACTTTGTTAATCCACTCATGAATTGAGGGGCACTTGGGCTGATTCTGCATTTTTGCAATTGTGAATTGTGCTGCGGTAAATGTTCGAGTGCAGGTGTATTTTTGATAAAATGACTTTTCATTTGAATAAATACCCAGTAGTGGGACTGGTAGATCAAATGATAGGTCTATTTTCAATTCTTTGAGGAATCTCTATACTGTTTTGCACCGAAGTTGTACTATTATATAATTTGCAGTCCCACCAACAGTGTGTAAGTGTTCCTTTTCACTTTGCATCCATGCCAGTATCTATTGTTTTTGGACTTTTTAATAAAAGCCATTCTAACAAGGGTAAAGTGATATCTCACTGTGGTTTTAATTTGCATTTCCCTGATAATTAGTGACATTGAGCATTTTTTCATGTTTACTGGCCACTTGTCTATCTTCTTTTGAAAAGCTTCTGTTCATGTCTTTTGCCTACTTTTTAAATGGGGTTATTTATTATTATTTTTTTTTCTTGCTGATTTGCCCGAGTTCCTTGTTGATTCTGGTTATTAGCCCTTTATCAGATACATTGCTTGAAAATATTTTTTCCTATTCTGTAGGTTGTCTATTTGCTCTGTTGATTATTTCCTTAGCTGTGCAGAAGCATTTTAATTTAATCAAGCCCCATTTATTTTTGTTGTTGTTTTGATGGCCATTTGGGGTCTGCTTCATAAATTCTTTGCCTAAGCTGATATCTAGGAGAGTTTTTCCAACATTTTCTTCTAGCATTCTTATAGTTTCATGGTTTACATTTAAATCTTTTACCCACCTTGAATTGATTTTTGTGAGTGGTGAGAGATATGAATCCTGTTTCATTCTTCTCCATGTGGCTATCGAATTCTCCCAGCACCATTTATTGAATAGCGATTCTTTTCCCCAGTGTATATTGTTGTCTGCTTTATCAAAGATCAGCTGGATGTAGATGGTTTTATATCTGGGTTCTTTGTTCTGTTCCATTCATTGGTTTATGTCTCTAATTTTGTGCTAATACTATGCTGTTTTGGTTACTATAGCCTTGTAGTATTGTTTGAAGTCTGGTAATGTGATGCCTCCAGATTTGTTCTTTTTGCTTAAGATTACTTGTCTATTTGGCCTCTTTTCAGATTCCAAACAATGTGTATAATTATTTTTTCTAGATCTATAAAATATGATGTTGGTATTTTGATGGGGATTGATATGAATCTGTAAATCACTTTGGGCAGTATGGACATTTTAACAATGTTGATTCTATAGATTCATGAGCATGATATGTTCTTCCATTTGTTTGTGTCTTCCACAATTTCCTTCCTCAGTGTTTCGTAGTTCCCTTTCACATCCTTGGTCAAGTATATTCCTAGGTGTTGTATTTTCTTTGTGGCTACTGTGAATGGTACTTGACTTTACTTAACTTTGACTCTCAGCTTGACTGTTATTGGTGTATAGGAATGCTACTGATTTGTGTACACTGATTTTGTAACCTGAGACTTTGCTGAATTTATTTACCAATTCCAGGAGTCACTTGGTGGAGTCTTTGGAGTTTTCTAGATATAAGATCATATTGTCAGCAAAAAGTGATAGAGTTTGACCTCCTCTTTCCTGATTTGGATACCCTTTCTTCTTTTTTTTTGGAGACAGAGTCTTGCTCTGGTGCCTGGGCTACAGTGCCATGGCACCAGCCTAGCTCACAGCAACCTCAAACTCCTGGGCTCAAGCAATCCTCCTGCCTTAGCCTCCTGAGTAGCTGGGTCTACAGGCACATGCCACCATGACCAGCTAATCTTTTTCTATTTTTAGTAGAGATGGGGTCTCACTCTTGGCTCAAGCTGGTCTCAAACTTCTGACCTCAAACTATCCTCCCGCCTCAGCCTCCCAGAGTACTAGGATTACAGGCGTGAGCCACTGCGCCCAGCCCCCTTTATTTCTTTTGCCTGATTGCTCTTACCAGGACTTCCAGTACTATGCTGAATAGAAGTGGTGACAGGGGGCACTCTTGTTGTATTCCAGTTCTTAAAGGGAATCCTTTCAACTTTTCCCCATTTAGTATGATATTGGCTGTGGGTTTGTCATATATGGTTTTTATAATTTTATGTGGCTGTATAAAAGCCAAATGTGGCTTTTATAATTTTGAGATATCTTCCTCCTATGCCTAGTTTGTTGAGGGTTTGTATCATGAAAGGGTGCTGCATTTTTTCAAATGCTTTTTCTGTATCTATTGAGATGATCCTATGGTCTTTGTTTTTGCTTTTGTTTATTGTGGTGAATCACATTTATGGATTTCTGTATGTTGAACCATCCTTGCATCCCTGGGATGAAGCCCACTTGGTCAAGGTGGATTATTTTTTTTGATGTTCTATTGAATTCATTTTGCTAGTGTTTTATTGAGTATTTTTGCATCTATATTCATACGGGATATTGATCTGTAGTTTTCTTTTATTGTTGTGTCCTTTCCTGGCTTTGGTATCAAGGTGATACTGGTTTTTATAGAATGAGTTGGGGAAGATTCTCTCCTTCTCAATGTTATGGAATAATTTCCTGAGTATGGGTACCAGTTCTTCTTTGTAGGTCTGGTAAAATCAGCCGTGAATCCATCTGGTCCAGGGCTTTTTTTTGTTGTTGGAAGCTTTTTTATTACTGCTTCAATCTCATTGCTTGTTATTGGTCTGTTCAGGAGTTCTATTTCTTACTCATTGAAACTTGGGAGGTTGTGTCTCCAGAAATCTGTCCATTTCCTCTATGTTTTCGAGTTTATGTGCATAGAGGTTTTCATAGTATTCACAGATGATACTTTGTATTTCTGTGGTATTAGTTGTAAAATCTTTTTCATTTTGGATTGAGCTTATTTGGGTCCTTCCTCTTCTATTTCTAGTTAATCTAGCAAGAGGTCTATCAATTTTGTTTATATTTTCAAAGAACCAACTTTTTGTTTCATTGATCTTTTGTACTGATTTTTGTTTTCCATTTCATTTAGTTTTGCTCTGAGCTTAGTTATTTCTTTTCCTCTGCTGGCTTTGAGTTTAGTTTGCTCTTCATTTTCTAGTAGATTTTGAACAAAAATTGAGTGCTATGTCATTATTCTGGAAAGGTAAATTATCCCTTAGTCTGAAAGATCATCTGGGCCATAAACAAATTTGCTAAGGAGGTATATAACATATTGGAAAACAAATAAGGGCTACCAAGTATAACTAAGTGGTCCATCCATTAAGGTACCAGTGATCAAATCCCTATCTGAAAATTTTTTTTGGTTATTGAGGTTACTAAATATATTTGAAAATAAAAGAAAGATTCTTACTACAAATAGAAGTGTAATGTAGGTGACTAATCTTCCTACACAATTAAATTCATCAAAAAACATTTTAATTAAATTTTCATATATTCAGACTCAAAAGATCACTTAATGCTGTAGCATTTAGCCTGAGAATAGCCACAAAAGAATGTCAGACTCACCTTGATCATGCCTCCTACAACTTCCATCACCTTGCCTCGATACCACACAGTATCGGATCCTCTTACTGCACAGGCTTCTCCCTTTTTCCAGAAATAAGGCTCCAAAAGACCAAGGCATTTTAAATTACACTGAATTTCATTCATCATTTTTACTAGCTCACATTCTGGAAAAAATATTAAAGACAGAAAGCATTTAGGAAAAATCCCCTATCACTTTTCTATAAGAAATCATCACTAATCTTTAATAACTTCATAATTTAGGTAATATAAAGAACTAAAAACCAGTCCCATAGGACTTTCATAAAAATCTGTATGTTTCAAAACATACTACTAACAGAATAATTATTCTGATCTTTGATTGTTATAATTATTTTTTTAAGAGATGAAGGCCTCCCTGTCATCCTGGCTAAAGTGCAGTGGTGCAATCTAGTTCACTGCAACCTCCAACTCCTGGGCTCAAGCAATCCTCCTGCCCTCAGCCTCCTGGGTAGCTGGGACTACAGGCATGTGGCACCATGCCTGACTAATTTTTTTTATTAGAGGTCTCACTACGGTACTTGGGCTAGTTTCAAATTCTTCACCTCAAGCAGTCGTTCTGTGTGAGCCTCTTTAGTTGCTGGGATTACAAGCATGAGCCACCACACCTGGCACTGATCTTTGATTATATTTTGAGAGTACAAACATCATAAAGAACTCTAAACACATGCCAGATGGCCTAATATAAAAGAACTACCAAATAAGATGTCATTATGGCAGCACACCTAAGTAAAACAGAACATAAATTGTGTATTACTTAATGCTTAGATACAGTATAACACTGGGGCTATAAAATTAAAATTAAAATTTTGAATTTTGCTTTAACTGCCAATTGACCCATTATTTCCTCAGTAAATACATATCCTCATAACTGATACACAGAAGGCAATTCTGGAATCTGTTCCCATCCCAGTCCTACAGCTTTAGTTGTGTGAGGTTGGATAAGTCCCTTACCTCCATAAGCTTCAGTTTATTCTTCTGTAAACTGGGTATTAATAGCATCTACCTGCATTATCAGCATTGCAGGAGGGTTATATGAAAGCATCAAGCACACTGCCTGACATAGCAGTTTGCCAGTGTGAGCAATGACTATTTTATACATGTCAAAGCTTCTGGTTAAGTAGTATTAGTACAGGTTTCAAACACTGTTCATTTCTTCCAGAACAATTAATTGCACAAATTTGTCTTTCAAATCAAAAAATGTTATTTAGGCATCAATAAATGACAGAAAAACTTCAGTAAATTCATAGCTACCCTTATCTGTGGGTGGACTTACTAGGGAGCTAATAGCACTTAAGCCCTGTGAGTGCTAGAGTTACAGATATTCTTCCATGCCCAGAAAGCATGTGCACATAAGCCTAAGGAGAACACAGGAAGGATCTGAATATTCTCAAAAGGTCTTGAATCTTCAGGCATTTGTTGTGATTTCTTTCCTCATTATAAATACATATAAACTTCTGTATTCTTTTTTCTTAGCCTCCAAACTTATACAAGTACCAGCTTTTACAAACCTAGAACCACTCCTACCGTTACGTTAGTCCCAATATGGGGAAAATAGGGGAGACACATGGTGGAAGGAAGGTCAATTTGTGCTAACGCTGATGTAAGAGTTGTTTAGCAGCTTCAGCCTCCCACGATGCTCCTCTTCCATGCTGGGAGAGTACTTAGGATGTCTAGATAATCATTGATGGAATCTCTAAGTCCTAAATTCTGCTAACCACAGTATCACTGCCACCCCAGATGTGCAAAAAAAAGTGAGGCTCCAAGATATTTATATTCTCAAGGACCCCAAGGTTCACAGATACACAAAAACACTGGTACCATGGAAGGAGGAGAGAAATTCCTGGGGGCAGCCCTGACATAGCATGATATCCAAAACCCAATGATTTTTTTGTCAACTATTTGATCACACCCTAATTCCCTTATTAAACTTCATTACTTCTATTCTTCTTATTAAACTTCATTACTTCTATTCTTCAGCCAGGATAGACCCCTTTATCTTACTTATCCCCATCTTTGTGTAAGTTCCTTCTATATTCTATCCTAAATTTTCTAATTCTAAAAAGGATTATCAGTTTTAATTTTTTTTTCTGTCTATATCTATCTACATTTCCAAAGTCATGGGGTGCAGAATGTTTCTCAAGAAAAGTTTCCTTCCTCATCTCTAGCCTAACTTTTTGATCCTGCAACAATTTGCACACAGTGTGTCCCATAGTAACAACAGAGTATGGTGAAGGAAACACAGGATTGAAAGAGCCAAGGTCTCTTACCTAGTTTCAGGTTAAAAAAAAAAAAGAGCCAAGGTAAACCTAAAGAAGAACAAAGCAGGGAGCCTGGCTCCAACAGATTACAGGTGTTATGAAATATAGAACAAATAAATTATATACACATTACCAACAGTACAGGCTATATTAAGAAAAACATTGTGGTATTACTGCATGGATATACAAATAGACCAATATTACAGAATATAAAGTTCACAAACAACTTATGCATATATGGAACCTTAATTTTTAACAAAGGTAGCACTCCAGATCAGTAGGGAGTATGTGGAATATTAAGTAGAAGGCCTGGGACAACTGACTAATCCCATAAAAAATGAAATTGGATCCCTTCTTCCCATCTACCCCAAATCAATTCTAGGATGGCTTAAAGACATATAAAAAACAAAACTATGGGCCGGGCGTGGTGGCTCATGCCTGTAATCCTAGCACTTTGGGAGGCCGAGGCGGGCGGATTGCTTAAGGTCAGGAGTTCGAAACCAGCCCTGAGTAGACCCGCTCTACCAGAAATGAAATATTAATTGACCAACTAAAATATATATACAAAAAATTAGTCCGGGCATGGTGGCACATGCCTGTAGTCCCAGCTACTCGGGGGCTGAGGCAGTAGGATCGCTGAGCCCGGAGATTGAGGTTGCTGCTGACCAGGCTATGCACAGGCACTCACTCTACAGCTGGGCAACAAAGTGAGCACTCTGTCTCAAAAACAACAACAACAAACAAAAAAAAAAAACTTGATATTGCGCGGCGCGTGTGGCTCACGCCTGTATATTCTAGCACTCTGGGAGGCTGAGCGCGGCAAGCTGCTCGACTTACATTCTTTATTTATCCTCGTTCACTGATTATGTAGCTGGGATGACTTTTCGGTTTCTTCTTAACTTATTATATTTTATGTAAAGAAATAATTGACAAACTAAAAGTATTTTGTAAAAATATTTCTTGCATTTGTGGTGCTATGCTATTCCTCAGCTCCTCGAGGTCTGAGATCAGCAGGATTACAGGAGCCCGGATTGGGTGTTTTTTTGTATTGTCATTGTTTTTTTATTTGCCTTATACTTGTGCACTCGCTCTAGCCGTGCAACAAAGCGAGACTCTGTCTCAAAAAAAAAAAAAAAAACTAATTATTTGTACAAGATCATGTAGAATAGCTTTCGATTTCAGAGTAAGAATGGATTTCTTTTTATTTAATTTTTTAATTTTTTATTATTATTTTCTTTATAGAGTAATCGAGTTAGCAGGAAAGATTTCAACATGAAAACACAAAACAAAAACCCCAAAACAACTGATAAAATTACATTAAATTAAGATTTTGTTTATCCATGAAACCCAAAAATAAAAGTGAAAATTGAGAGAAGAAGATATTTGCAACACATAAAAAAAAACATAGCAGTTAGGATACAGTAAGAACTATGAATCAGAAAGCAATGACTTAATGGAAAGTGAGCAAAGACACGGACAGATATTCCATAAACATGGGGAATTCGAATTACTAAAATAGAAGAAAAGATGTTCAACCTCATAAGTAACTAAGGAAAACAAATTAAAGCCACAGTAAGACAGTGGCTTTAATGTGTCTCACACCACCCAGACTGGTGAAACTTAGTCTGACAACATGAAGTGTGTAGCAAGGACATGGAGCAATGGGAATTCTGACATACTGCTAGGATAGAATGTTAAATGTAAACCACTTTGAAAAACAATATGACATTATCTAGAAGAGTGATCATACACACATAATCCTAAATAATCCACCAATTCCGCTCACTGGTAATACTCTGATTATTAGAAAAAGTTTACCTGTGTGTATCAAGAAACAGGTACAAGGCTGGGCGGTGGCTCACACCTATAATCCAGCACTCTGGGAGGCCAAGGCGGCAGACTGCTCGAGGTCAGGAGTTCGAAACCAGCCTGACCAAGAGCGAGACCGTCTCTACTATAAATAGAAGAATTAATTGGCCAACTAACATATACGAAAAAATTAGCCAGGCATGGTGGCACATGCCTGTAGTCCCAGCTACTCGGAGCTGAGACAGCAGGATTGCTTGTGCCCAGGAGTTTGAGGTTGCTGTGAGCTAGGCTGATGCCATGGCACTCACCTCAGCCTGGGCAACAAAGTGAACTCTGTCTCAAAAAAAAAAAAAAAACAGGTACAAGAATTTCATAGCAGCATTTTTTGTAATCGTAAAAATAAACAATGTAAATGTCCATCAACAGTAAAATGGACAGAAATATAATCATCACTGCAATATTATTCATATTTAAGATGCATCATGGTAGATGCTCGAACATTTTTTTTTTTTTTTTTTTGAGAGACAGAGTCTCACTTTGTTGCCCAGGCTAGAGTGAGTGCCGTGGTGTCAGCCTGGCTCACAGCAACCTCCAATCTCCGGGCTCAGCGATCCTACTGCCCTCAGCCTCCCGAGTAGCTGGGACTACAGGCATGCGCACCATGGGCCGGCTAATTTTTGTATATATAATTTTGTTGGCAATTAATTTATCTTCATTTGGTAGACAGGGTCTCGCTCATGCTTGGTTTCGAACTCCTGACCTTGAGCAATCCGCCCGCCTCGGCCTCCCAAAGTGCTAGGATTACAGGCGTGAGCCACCACGCCCGGCATACTCGAACATTTTGATGAAGAGTCACAAAAGAAAATGTACATTTTGGTTGTTTATATAAAATTTGAAAGATGGAAAACCTAAATCATTTGTTTAGTGGTAATCATTTGTTTAGTGGTACACACAGGAAATGATAACATCAAGTTCAAGAGAGCGATTATCCCGGGGGGTGAAAGAGGGAGATGTGACCCAGTGGGGGCGCGCACGGCTTCTAAGGCTTTGATGCTGCTGCTTCTTATCCCAGGCAATGGGCACGTGGCCATGGCTTTTAATGTTTTTATTTAATACTTTTTGTGCTATATATTCTTTCACATTTGTAACATTTTACAGTAACTTTTTTTTTTCATTTTTTTGGAGACAGATTCTCACTCTGTTGCCCAGGTTGGAGGGCAGTGGTACAATGAGATCTCCCTGCAGCCTCAAACGCCTGGACTAAGTGATTCTCCTACCTCAGCCTCCCAAGTAGCTGGGACCACAGGCACACATCACCACACCCAGCTAACTTTTCTCTTTTTTATAGAGACAGGGTCTTGCTATGTTGCCCACGCTGATCTCGAACTCCTGGGCCTCAAGTGATCCACCCACCTGGGCCTCCCAAAGTGATGAGATTATAGGTGTGAGCCACTGCACCGGCCCTCCAATAACCTTTAAAAATTCATTTGAGCATCTACGTTTAGTCATTTTTAATGTGATCAGCACATTGACCTTACAACACTGTGTTGTGGGAGTAATCTTTTGGGATCCCATCTTCATGCAATGGTTTCCAATTAGATTTCCCACTTTGTAAGAAATGGGCCTTGGGATTTATTTCCTTTTTCTTCAACTTTGTGTAGTTATCAAAGAGGAAGTTCAAGGTTATAGTTATTAGGCAACTCTAAGGGTTACACATTTTTTGGCACATGCTTACCTCCCAGTGTGTAATTTCACTTTGTTTTGGAGCTTTGTATATTTTTTATTTTCATGCTAACTCAGTAAATGTTAACTTTAAAAAATAGGCATTTTACCTGACTTACTGGAGAGTATTGCTCAAACTACTATAATAACAGAAATGGAAATTCCAAATCCCTTTCTTCTTATGAGAATAGCGCTTACATAATTGTTAATAATTGAAAGAAACCTCATTAAATGATTTTTATGTGCTAGGCATTTTTGAAAGCACTTTGCATGCATTGTGTGAAATCATTTAATCCTACCAACTCTGTGAAAATGAAGTTCAAAAAGTTAATTACTTGCCTAAGGCATTTTAATTCATGTCCAACTTACTAGAGAACTAGGAGCTGCTAAATCTACTTTTACTAAGTCTACATAACATAGAAGATCTTACCTGATAGTTTAGGTACTACAAATATAGTTCCATCATCACCAATGCAGCTGACTACTGCCTCAAATACCTGCATGTTAGGAATAGCTGGTGGTTTATAGCATCCAGTGGTTCTTGGTTCTGGAATTTTTTCCTTAAATTCAGACACCTTGTGTTCACTGATTTTATCAGCAGCTTTTTTGTCAGGGTCAAAGTCTATTTTAACACACTTAGTAACCACTGAACCTTCTTGTTCCAGCGGGACTCCAGGAGACTTCTCAGGTAATGAATGGCTATTATCTAATTTATTAATTCTGTAACATCCAAAAAAGAACATATCTAAACATGAGCAAATATAAAATTCAGGGGAAAACAATATAAAAAGAATCCTTCAAATATACTTGAAATTTAAAGGAAATATTTGCTCTAGTCTAGGATATACTAGTTTAATATGTTACATGAAAATTAGCATAAGTTATAATGAAAATTAGTTTAAATTATGAGACAGATGAGAAAAAGCAATATAATTTTACTTAAATATTTTAAATTACTATCTCATATTTACATGTTATTCTCCCTTAAAATTTCAAAAGCATATCCAAAATATTGTACAATGAATTAGATATTACTGGAAAATATAATACCTTCAAGTTGGTTCTATTTTAATCCACAGAACATATATACCTTGCAAGTTATTAACATTCATAAAGTAAATGAGTCTCTTAAAAAACAGTAAGGTACTTTTCAGATATTAGGTATTAGTGGTAATATGTTATATTTACTCAATTTTTCTACTTGTTAATTCCCTTCCAATTCAAAAACAGGCAGCGTACTGTACAAAAAATAAAATCCTAGATGGAAATATTAACACTGATTATGTTTTAGCAGAATTATAGCAGAGTTTTGTTTCTTATAACTCCCTGTACTTTCAAAAGGAAGGATTAATGAAACAAGTTATATAATTCCTCAATTAACCGCAACCCCCCTGCAGCTTCCCATCCTCACCCAGGCCTTAAGATAGCTAGTAGTTTTAGTGTCATAAGAGCAGTAAATTCAGCAAAACACATACTTTCATTGGTTAAAAAGAAAATAAAGAATTATAAAAAATAATAAAAATTAAAATTAAAAAAAAATAAGAGCAGTAAAGAACATCACAATTTCTGGCAGATAATGTCACTAGTATTAACTTGCCTGGCATTTTCCACTTAAACATTTCTTTTATCAAGGGAACTGCTTTAGCCTAAAGGCAACGAACCCAAGAGAGACAGGTGTGAGAGCAGAGATGTGGTGCCTAGGCACTCCAATGCCCAGGTAACTCAGGCAGCACCCACCATACCTAGCCAACTACCTCATGTCCCACTTAATTTCTGATTTCTTATTCTCTTTTCATTTCATCAAGACTGAGGGCCTAGTCTAAATAAGGTAAAATATAATTTAAGACAACCATATCTAAGGAGACCTGGTCATGTATGGTAGAAAGTGGCTACCTGAGACATGTGTTTGCAGTTCCAGCATACCTCTATGTCTCTGGAAGGGGCACAGCAATACCCTGATCTCGTCCCCTAGATGAGAGGAGCTTAAATCCCAAACTTAGTACCTAGAAGGATCTTTAAATATAAGTATTGCTCAATTGCTCAATTTTTCTGCTAGTCATTCCTATTTCATAAAAATACGTTTCACAAAAATACATTTTTGTATATATCCACTGGAATTTCTAAAATGAACCTTAAACATTTCTGCCTTTGGTATCCAGTATACAATTCTCTTTTTCTTTGGTTTAAATGTCAAAGGAAAGGGGAAATTATAAAAGCAAGTATGTCAGTATAGGGTTTAAGTGTGCAAGAGCTTATGGGACTGAATAAACCAATGAGCAATTCTAAGGGAATCTGTTTTAGAGCTGGCCCCTCAGAGTTAGTTTATAAATCTTTAAGAGCAAATGATACAATTCAGGTTTGAAGGCACATATGTAAGAAGATTTGCACAGGTTAATAAGAAGTAACCACTACAAACTGATGTCAAAAAAATTTTTTTAAAGTCTATACCTCCTTTCTCTCAAAGCCAAACCCTTTTTAATCAAATATTTAGAAACATCAACACGCTCTCCTTTTTCATCTCTGCAGAAAATTTTCACAGGTAGTGGCCATGTTGTGTTGTTTTCCTGTAGTGATTTAAGAGCAGAGTAAATATGAGACACAAAAATGAAATCTTCTTCATAAACAATGTACTTTTCATAGGCACTTTATATTTCTCAAACAAGAAAAAAAATTTGCTAAGTAAAGTTATTCTGATATCTAAATATATCAGAGAGAAAAATAGCACGGAAGTAAGTCAATGGAGAGACAGTTGTTTTGTGAAGTGTATCAGGAGGACATCACTGTCAAGTGAAACTTCCCCAAAAAAGAAAAAAAAATTTAAAACTTTTTTTTCAATCCCAGAATTGAGGGCTGGGTGGAGCACACACCACCAGTTAACAAGTTTCTCTATTCCCCTAAACTCTTAGCGAATTATAGAATCAAAATATTTCTGAAAATATATCAATATATTTTCCGAGGTATGCCATTTTCCCCCTACAAAATGCAAAAGAAAGAACTACAAAATATATATACTTCATATCAGAGAAATTATAAAAAGGGAGAAAATCCATATGGAAAGAAAAAGTAATATAAAGTGAGTTATATAAGAAAATCCTAATCATTAAGGCAATAAAACATTTAAATTCAAAAAAAGTAAAAGAAGCAAAGTATTTTTAAGTGTTCTGAAAAGATATATGTCTCTTCTCAAATCCATACTCTCATACAATTTTATGATACATAGTTAATATTATTTCACTAGAAGCCTAACTTTCCAGTTTAGCGAAAGATTATCAAATGGCTTTCAAAAGACATTCTAGCATACATGTTACATTTTTAACATGCAAATTATCAACTCAAGAATATTACTTTGACTCATTCACCTAATCATTTGTGATACACCTATTATCAAATAGGCATTATACCTTGAAACAAAACCAACAAAGTTTGCAACAAAATCCAAATAGTTTGCTGTTATTTCCTCAACTAGAAAGAAAATAAATGGAATTGGTAGAAACATCAACAAAATCATCAGTAATATCTGTTGTAACTCGTTACCCCACTACCTGCCTGTAAGATTATTGTTGCTACAGCTCCAGTCAGGTACAATGAAAGATAGTCACAAGCTGTCGCTGTCCACTTGTCACTCCCACCAGTTGGTCTAAAACAAAAAACAATGACAACTTATTTTTTTAACAAATAGCATAGGACATTGAAATATATAAGAAACACTAAATACCTACACACTCGTTGTTTAAAACACCTAAATATGTAGTGAGAAATAAACTTAAACATGGATCCATGTTATTTTCACAATTTTCTTCCCCACTTTCAAAGCCTTTGTTCATCCCTCTATTCTACTTAGGGCCTATATTACATGCTAATTTATTTATGTATACCTGTTCTGCAGCTACACTGAGGACCCCTAAAGAGTACATATGTTGTAAATACTTTTTTCAGTCATTATGTACATTTCATATGTCAACTAGACTATAAACTCAGAGAACAGGGATGATATTTATGACCATAATCGTATTACCTAATGCCTAGTATAGTGCCTGGCACATAGAAGGTACTCCAGAAATATTTAATGGAAAAGAAAAAAAGTACCTTTGTAATGATGATTCCACTGCCCATTTCTGGACGTTTTCTGGAATTCAAATGTAATATGAATCATCATCCATAAAAATCAGCCTTGATAGTTTACAGAAATTTTACTTAATTGTTGTTGTAATTGTTGATTCAAAAAAATTATTTAATAGATATGGTCATGCAATTTTAAATGAGTATAAAAATTCACAGAGCAGCACCTAATTCTTTGGCAAATACTGAATGGCAGACAATAATGTATAGTAAGAAAATGCTCAGTAAATGTTTGACAGATCAACGAAAAGTGATATATCCAAGGGGTGTGGTACTCACGCCTGTAAGCCTAACACTCTGGGAGGCTGAGGCGGGAAGATTGTTTGAGGTCAGGAGTTTGAGACCAGCCTGAGCAAGAGAGCCCATCTCTACTAAAAATAGAAAAAATTAGCCGGGCATGGTGATGCACGCCTGTAATCCCAGCTACTTAGGAGGCTGAGGCAGGAGGATTGCTTGAACCCAGGAGTTTGAAGATATAGTGAGCTAGAGCTGCACTCTAGCCCAGACGACAGAGTGAGACTCTGTCTCAAAAAAAACAATTTAAAAAGTGATATCCAACTTCATCAACCATGATAATCTGCAGAATTGAAACTGAGGGACTTCACATGTTTCTAACTATCAAATCTACCCCCAAAGAATAAAGAACTAGTACCAGAGAAGAGATTGTAGTGAACATAATGCAGGCTCTAAAGGCTCTCTAAACCTGGTTTCTAGATCCAGTTTCTTTGAGTTGATCCGTTAACTCAGCAAATAACAACTAATCTGGTCAGTTTTTTTCTTCTTCTTCTTAAGTGACAGGGTCTCACTGTGCTGCCTAGGCTGGCTTTGAACTCTGGGGCTCAAGCAATCCTCCTGCCTCAGCCTCCCGAGTCAGTGGGACTATAGGCATGCACCATCACACCCAGCTTAATCTGATCAATCTTTTCAAGTTAAATGGTTTATATGAGTGAACTAACCAAATCAATTGGGTACACAATTTGATCAAATAGGATTTGGTAAATGGGCTACACTATTATCAAGCCCAGAGAAACTTCTTGTGAGCTAAGGAAGCTTAAATTACTAGTAACTCTTAGAATTGGTTATGGTTTAAGTTATTGTGATGGTATACAAATAAAAATCAGTGTAACACTGTTATCCTGTGATTTATTATGGATATACATATTATAAATATTTTGTGGATATCTGTAGGTATTCACATTTTAAAAATATATGGATACAGAATATCAGTTGGGAGAGATGAAGTTCTAGAGATGAATGGCAGTACAAGCTGCCCAACAATGTGAATGTTCTTAATGTCACAGAACTATACAATTAAAAATGCAAATTTTATGTAATGTCTATCACAATAAAAACAATCTATGGATAAGGATTTCTTAGAATGCCAGTGAAACAAAGCAGTTAGAGCTCCAGTTCTGGATTCAGATCTTGTTTATAATCCTACCTCAATAGTCAGCAGATGTTTTACCCTGTATAATAAAATACTTAACCTCTCAAAGATTCAATTTCCTTATCTGTAAATAATATCTTATCTACACCTTAAAGGTTTGTTGTGAGGATTAAGTGAAATAGTGCCCGTAAGGCAATTAATATAGGGTCAGAAGTGCTGAGGGTTAGCTATTATTACTAGACTCTTAAAATGATGGTATTCTATTCCAGTGCATAAGACACAATTTAAGGGGTACATTAGAAACACATTCTCTACAATATCAGGCACAATCAAGGCACTGATAGAATTCTGTTCAATTATTCTGACTGAACTATTTAAGGTGAAAGCAAAAACTAGGATAGGATTTTATAGTATGGGCATGAAATTTCCATTCCAGGGCACTGAAAGGATTTATAGATATGGTCACACCATCACTATCAGTGATCATAGAAAGGCGCCCCTAAGACTGGAGAAATGGTCTGTGCAAACACATGGAAACTACTACTGATGAACTCTTCAAGAACATTAAAGAGATGGTCCATGAGTGGTCAGAATAGAAAGGGATCACTAAGAACAAGGTAACCTATTATAACCTCACTTAAAAAAATATCAGGTTTCAAACATAAATAAAACCAATGTCATGGCCGTGCACGGTGGCTCACGCCTGTAATCCTGGCACTGTGGGAGGCCGAGGCGGGTGGATTGCTCAGCCGAGGAGTTTGAGGTTGCTGTGAGCTAGGCTGATGCCACGGCACTCGCTCTAGCCCAGACGACAGAGTGAGACTCTGTCTCAAAAAAAAAAAAAAAAAAACTTAATATTTGTACAAGATCATGTAGAATAGCTTTCTGATTTCAGAGTAAGAAAGGATTTTTCTTTTTATTTTATCATTTTTTAATTTTTTATTATTTTTCTTTATAGAGGTAATCGAGTTAGCAGGAAAGGATTTCAACATGAAAAACAAAACAACAAAAACCCCAAAGACAACTGATAAAATTACATTAAAATTAAGATTTTGTTTATCCAGAAACCTCAAAAAGACACTGAAAAGTGAGAAATTGAGAGAAGATATTTGCAACACATAAAACTGAAAAAGCATAAGCAGTTAGGATACAGTAAGAACTATGAATCAGAAAGCAATGACTTAATGGAAAGTGAGCAAAAGACACGGACAGATATTCCATAAACATGGGAATTCGAATTACTAAAATAGAAGAAAAGATGTTCAACCTCATAAGTAACTAAGGAAACAAATTAAAGCCACAGTAAGACAGTGGCTTTAATGTGTCTCACACCCACCAGACTGGTGAAACTTAGTCTGACAACATGAAGTGTTAGCAAGGACATGGAGCAATGGGAATTCTGACATACTGCTAGTGATAAATGTAAACTGTTACAAACCACTTTGAAAAACAATATGACATTATCTAGAAGAGGTGATCATACACACATAATCCTAAATAATCCACCAATTCCGCTCACTGGGTATGTACTCTGATTATTAGAAAAAGTTTACCTGTGTGTATCAAGAAACAGGTACAAGGCTGGGCGCGGTGGCTCACACCTATAATCCTAGCACTCTGGGAGGCCAAGGCGGGCAGGCTGCTCGAGGTCAGGAGTTCGAAACCAGCCTGACCAAGAGCGAGACCCGTCTCTACTATAAATAGAAAGAAATTAATTGGCCAACTAACATATACAGAAAAAATTAGCCAGGCATGGTGGCACATGCCTGTAGTCCCAGCTACTCGGGAAGCTGAGACAGCAGGATTGCTTGTGCCCAGGAGTTTGAGGTTGCTGTGAGCTAGGCTGATGCCATGGCACTCACTCTAGCCTGGGCAACAAAGTGAGACTCTGTCTCAAAAAAAAAAAAAAGAAACAGGTACAAGAATTTTCATAGCAGCATTTTTTGTAATCGTAAAAATCTAGAAACAATGTAAATGTCCATCAACAGTAAAATGGACAGAAATATAATCATCCACTGCAGTATTATTCATATTTAGATGCATCATGGTAGATGACTCGAACTTTTTTTTTTTTTTTTTTTTTTGAGAGACAGAGTCTCACTTTGTTGCCCAGGCTAGAGTAGTGCCGTGGTGTCAGCCTGGTCACAGCAACCTCAATCTCGCGGGCTCAGCGATCCTACTGCCTCAGCCTCCGAGTAGCTGGACTACAGGCATGCGGCACCATGGCCGGCTAATTTTTTGTATATATATATTTTAGTTGGTCAATTAATTTATTTCTATTTTTGGTAGAGACGGGGTCTCGCTCAGGCTGGTTTCGAACTCCTGACCTTGAGCAATCCGCCCGCCTTGGCCTCCCAAAGTGCTAGGATTACAGGCGTTGAGACCACCC